TCTGTTTCTGAGTTTCTGAATGAATGAAAAGTTTCCCTCAGAGAGTTCAGTAGGTGCCGAGCCACAGTAGTATGGAGAATATTTACAAACACACACACATACGATATCGTCGTAGCATGACTCATAGATGATGTAAGGCTAGAGCCAGACTGCTCCCCTACTCCTACTCCTACTCCACTGGTAAACTTGACTACTGCCCATGGGGAAAATATTAGTGCAACTAAGACTAAAGACAAATAATGACAAAAAGCAAATACACAGAGAGAGAGAGGCCCAGATGAAGAGCAGCCCAGACATGTCGATGCACGCACCTTTCCCAAATAAAAGAACACAACGAAAATCAGAGAACACATACCGAAAATGTCTTATCTAACCATAAAATCTATGGAAAAAAGGGGGGCGAAAATTACTCAAATACAAAAAAAAAACAGAGAAGAAAAAAAGAACCCACACTGACATGTTTGTACAAGACAGGGACGGACAGAGAGAGATCTTCGGTAGGCAAACAAAAAAAGAACAATCAAATAAATTAAACAAAGGCTGTCGACAACGCGACGGACGGTCCAAGTGGATCCACGTCCAATCTTATCGGCATATCAGTTTTCCTGCATGGTGTATCGCTTTTTTTTGCGTCTGGTGTGTGTGAGTGTGAGTGTGTGTGCGCGAGAACAACCAGTGTCCGAATCCGTGAACAGTTATGCACCAGACGGTGAGACGATCATCAAGGCCCAGCTCCTCCGTGCTCTCCCCTTTCCCACTCCTCAACGCAAGACCAGAGAACACACACACACTGGTTAAACAACATTAAATGGGTCTCGTTATGGGTCACTTTGCGGCGAGTATTATGAATTTGACCAAACGTTTGCCACGCGAACAAATCAGAATTGCAGTACCCATAGGGTATACATATGCACATATGTACATGTGGCCTATACCTATCAGTATTGGCTGAGACCCTTCTGTGTACTGCATCTATCACCCGCAACCGATTCAGTTCCCTATCTTAGATAACTGACTTTGGAACAGGCTCAACCTGCAAGGGTATCAAAATGTTCGGCCTTCTAATCTCGCCTTCTTGTGGAACGCAGTGGAATGAGACCGCAAGTGGACCCACCTCACCAACATGCCATATCGGTGCAGCGGCGCTGGTGTTTTGTGTGCATGACTCATAGGCGACGCGGTTCGGGCCTGGGAATCGCTGCCCGGCCTCTGGTTTCGGCTTTAAGCTTCCGACAACGACGACGATCGCAGCGTCTGCCTAAGCAGCTCTCAATGACAGGCGTTACAAAATGAGTGAGTGAGTGGTGCGAGCGAGCGAGCGCGGAGGGGAACTCGTCCAAGAGTGTAGTAGAGTGAGAGTTAATGACCCATGTGCTACGGATCACTTGGCAATTTTCTTTGTTTCTCTCTATCGAGAAATGGGAAATCAAATAAAACAAAATATACATGCATACATTTCTGACAAGATCGACCACCAGTAGAGCTCATAAAAAATTAACACAAATTAACGAAACGAAGCCAGAAGGGAAACGTAAACACCAAAGAGTGAGAAATATGAGAGTGGCTGAGATTAAACAGAGCGCAGGGAGTGCAGCAGTGCGATTATGATGATTTTGGTTCTGGAGAACGGGGTGGGGTTGCGGACACGATACTCGTGAAGAAAAGAAAGAGGGTTCACATCCAGATTAACATAATACAATTAAGGGGAACTAGTTAACATTAAGACAATTGCGAAAAAGGAATACTCTCCATTTAAATGCTGAAACCCATGAAAGAAAATATTATTTATTTATTTATTGACATGTTTGCATATCCCATGTTAAATAAGTACAGAGGTTAATGGATTTTCGTAACTACAAAGTGTGCAGTATGTGCTTTGCCGGAATAAACGATTAAAAAATAACATTCTTTGTCACTCTTTGTTATAGTATGTAAAATCAAATGTCTCTTTCCAAACAAAAATGGAACATACATATGAGAGCGCTTAAATCGTCTGAGTTGCGCAATTTATCGCATTGCTGATATTACTCATTAGCATCTGCGAATGTTATGGAATTTGCACAACTTTTGAGGCAGTCCCCAGATCCCGATCGCAAATGAGTTTCTCGCACAGACGTCAAGAGCAGCCGCAGATAAAGTCGGTGGGACACGTCAGTGGAAAGAAAGAAAGAGACCGATGAAATAAACGTCTTTTAAACAGAAAAATGGAATTCGGAATCATGATTCTTATTTGGTAAGGTTCCGGGATGAACAAATTGCGATTGACACACTTTCCAGAAATGAGTGCCCCATCATGTGGGTCATTTGACATGCAGATTGAAAACTCAATCGAAGGAAATAAAAGCCAATTTGACAAATTCAATAAGCCACAAGACAAGATTCCCATAAAAAAGCCTTATGATTTTTTTTTGTGTTCAGTCAGACAATTAGCTATGCAAATGATATATGGGTTTCCTACTAGCAAGTCAATTTTCAGTTCCAACCCTCAAGTAACCCATTTGGAACTTGGTTAATTTAAATAATATTTGCAATAATTACCCGCATGACTGGTGGGACTTCTTTTGGACCTGAAAGAACCCATGGGTAATCCTTTAGGAAAACAAGAATTAAGCAAACATTAAGATTCCTATCAGTGAGACGAAGACTACGCCTCATTGAGCAATTGGAAAATTAGATGAACATCTTCTAGGGGATGCGGCTGGGGATACCCGAGAGGTAGTCAAGAGGGCAATCATCGAACTAATTGACATTCGAGAGCCTCAATTATATTAAATGCGCAAATTACCCCCGGTAATCGTTTGCAGGGGCAACTTGTCAGCATATTTGGCCCAGACCTTAGACCTTAGACTCCACCCATTTTGGGCACTGACTCAGCCACAAACGAAAAAAAGGTCCAAAGCATAACTCCGCCCCACACACAAACACACACACACACTCAAAAGAAGAAATAATAAAATAAAGAAACAGACCCAAAACAAAATTTCAACTTGAACCACTTTGGGTCCCCCAATGGGCTAAGGCGAAAGAGAGAAGCACACATATTTTTTGGCTTCCTCTTTGCCTTCTGGAGCATGAAATGCTGTTAGGAAATAAGCCACGCCTCTGCTGGGATTTATGCTGACGACGACGACGACGTCGACGACATGAACCCGGAAAAGCCAAGCCCTAGGCGGAGAAGAGAAGGAAGACAGACACACAAAAAAGAACTATAAATGTGCGAAAGAGCTGCAACGGACAGAGCCAGTGAGCAAGCGAGTGAGCGAGCGAGCGAGGCAGACAATAAGTAGTTCTGGCCACAATAGACCTAGACGTAGAAGTACCCGTCACCGTAGACGATGACGCAGAGCCACCCTTAAGTGGTAGCGCTGCTCTATCCATCCCAGTGGAAGCACTTGAGACGCTCGGCGTAAGGTTTCGATTGTGTGCAAGTGTGTGTTTCTGGTTACAAAATTACGGAATTGTGGGTGGAGTTACGTATATAAGTACATTGGAACTGAATGAGTGTACACTCATCCGCAGATTATTTAATGGAGTAAGATTTTGACTGCCATGAGGATGGCTATGTGGAATGTTTTATTATAAAAATTAGCACTTTAACTGTAGATTTTAGACCTCTTGCGGGGCCACCAAAAATTCCTTATTTACCCAAGATAAATGGTAGATGAAGTAAACGTGTACATTATTAAGGAATAAATGATTTTTCTGCCCAAAAATATTCTCTTTCAGTTTGATTTTGATTTCCTTAGAATTCATAAATATTACATATGTATGTAAATTTAGTATATCTACAGAAAGTCCAAATCATAGTCATACACATGTGCTATGCATCATTTTATTTGCATATCAATCCATTAATTCATTAAAAATCATCGGCTGAATTGGATTACGTAGGTTTGTACGTATGTACATATCTGAAACAGAAAGAGATAACAACTGATCACGAAGAAAAACCCCATGGAATCATTTTAACTTTCTTACAATCTGTAACATGACGAATTGACCGCAAAAATTGTAGTTGTTATTATTATTATTCAAGAAGTCATTGAACGAGTCTCAAAACTCAGTAGGAACAGTAGAATAAAAATTAATCATACGTAGTATAATCCTCAACGAAATTTTCGCAAATATTAATTTATAAAGGAATTTTCCAACGAAAAACGTACAGATCATATCCGACTTGTTCCGCTCTAATGGGAATAAAGATTGCACACGAAATACAAAAATGACGACGGGACGAGCCCATTGTTGGCAACATGCACCTTATATGGTATATGCATAACGGTAATTTATGAGAGATTGTCATAATATTTAGTCGGAAGTGTTGGGATCATTTGTAAGGGGATGCTCCAGATAAAGAAAGATGCTGTCGTTGGGGGGGCTTGGAGGGCTTGGAGGGCTCGTCGGGTAAGACAGATAACCCATGGATATACTAGGCCCACTTTTTGCCACTTGCCCATAATTCACGTGTCACGCTGTCACTCTCTCTCTCTCTGTCTCCCTAAAAGCACGAGAAATCTTCTTCGTATGTCTTTCATCATCGTCATTGCCTGACGATTTAATACAATTAATATGCTAACTGTACTTCTCGCCGAATACAGTTACAACAAAGGCAGCTACGTTGCCAGCACGCATGGCAACAGGCGCGCAAGGTGGCCGCGCTGCCACCACTTCCACTGACACTGCTTCTGCTTTCTTGCCTCTACCTTTGCCACGCCCACGCTCAAGCGCCCTGGCAACAACAAGAAATTACGGGTTTTTTTTTACATTTTCGGGGAGCAGAAAAAATACGAAAGAGCCGATGTCAACAAAAATACCAAAACAAAAAAATTCGTCTAGAGAACAAGACAGAGAGAGAGAGAGAGAAATGCGAGCACAGGCAAAGCACATTAATGTGCGAGCAGAGCGAAATGAGAGCAGAACAGAACAAGCAGCACAACCACCGCAGCGGAGCGAGAGAGAGAGAGAGCGGCTGGTATAAATAGCAACGGGCAGGCGCTCATCCCGCATTCAAAATCCAGCCAGCGAAGCGTGCGGACGTGAAGCAAAGAGACAAATGATACAAAGCTAAATAAAGATATAAAGAGCAAGAGCGAAAGCCAAGAACAAAGTGAACGAATTCGAATCTGTGCTGGTGCTTGTGTGTGCGCGCGTAACAATAAGCAAAAGCAACAAAGCATTTAGTTAATATTCAAAGAAGAGAAAGTCATTGAGTCATCATTCGATTGCCCGTAATTGTGCAATTAAAAAAGAGACACAAAGAGAAGAAAGAGCAGCAGCAGAAGCAGTAGCAGCAGCAATGGCAGTGGCCTTTTACATACCCGACCAGGCGACGCTGCTGCGCAAGGCGGCGCAACAGGAGCAGGAGCTGCTGCGCCTACGCGACTCCCAGTGGCGCTTTCTGGCCACCGTCATCCTCGAGACCCTACGCCAGTTTATGGACAGCGCGGCCAGCCAGTGCCTCCCACGGTCCGGGGGCGGGCGCAAGTGTGGCAAGTACCGCAAGCCTTCGCAGTGAACAGTTCCGTGAGAGCCGAGGAGTGGAGAGGAGAGCCAAAGCAGCAGCGGCAGCAGCAACAACAGCAAAGAGAAGAGAACTACAATCCAGTCCAGAATTCTAAGTACAAAGGAAAAACCCCAGTCATGAATCAGCCACATTTCTGTCCAGGATATGCTTAAACCCGCCCAAAACCACCCAACGACCACTGCCCTAGGACTCCCCCCGACAACCTCTTTTTAGTTTACTCATCAAAGCGATTGTGATAATGGTTTTGCTTCTACGAAAAAATTATACAACAAAACATGTATGCAACACAAAAAAAATCCCTAAAAAAATATTTTCACAAAAAAATCATTTTGTACGGAAAACAAAAAAATAGTTTCTCTAGCAATAATTTCAGTTTTGTAAGCATATTTAAATGAATTCCCAGACTCAACTCTATGTATGTAATCTGAAATAGTTGTTAAGATCTTTTGTAAGCGATTTTTTTCCAAGTTTTTTAACTCAAGAGCAAGACACACGAAAGAAGAATACTGAAACGAATGTCGACGATGAAGGTTTGCCAGAAATTGTATCAATTTTTTGCCAAACATAAAAGTCAATAAAATAAACAATGAGAAAATGTAAACGAAAACACACACACACGCAGTCTGATATTTCATTTATTGATGGCGGTAATTTTTCAGATTAAAGACGCAGGCGGAAGCACATGACGGAACAGAATTGATGAGCTATCGCAAAAATTCAGGAACGAACAGTCAATTCTGTTGAGATTTTCTTTTTGAAGAAGGTTTTGCCGTCGGATATTCAAGAAATAAAATCAATCAATTGTTTTCCTCACATTTCCGACGGGTTGTTCTATCTACATTTGATATTAAATATGACAAAGTTATACTCTAAAATAGAGGTAATCTTGTGACCAGAAATAAAGATTTAGAAATACAAAAATTTTAAAGGCAACTAGTATTTATTTTTGGCCACGGCTTTGATAGATTCTATTCTTTTCTTCTTTTTATATTCTTTAATTTTCAGACCATGCTCACCGACGCGTCGGTAATAAAATTCAAAATAAACTGCGATCTTTCTTTAAAATATAATAAATGGGAAACATTAATTTGCATAGAAGATAGAAAACACTAGTTAGATTGATTTCCGACGGCAATGGTTAAATGGCAAATATGTACGAGTACTTTGAATATTTAATAATAGTCAGGTTGCTAATTATATACTTACATAAATCACGGAATTTCGAATATTTAAAATTGGTTGAGGTTTTGATCTGTAAATAAAGAATATAATAGATTATTTTACATGTATGCATGCTCAGCGTATATAAAAATAAAGTAGGGGCATTTCATATAAGCTTCTCCCCCTTCAAGAATATTTCTGTTGTTTTGGGGAAAATGGTTTCATCTAGACCAACTTTTCCACTCTGGTAAAGTTTCAGCCACTCCGACAACGTAGTTGAACAAGCGCCAGTCAAACACGCAGGGAAAATTCAATTATGCAAAAAAGAAATGCTCGTACAAAAATATTTTCCAAGATTTTTGCGCTGCGAAACTTTGTGGCAGCGGAGGAGTCTCTGCCCCGGCGACCCCTTGATAATGTCAAAAAATTAGGTGCTAACAAAACAATTTGCATTCTTAAGTTAATTTTTGGCCAAAGTGCTTGAAGGCAGAACAGCAGCAGCAGCAGCAGCAGTAACGCGAGTTGCTACACAAAAAATCAATGAGCAATCCTAGAGGGTCTCGTCAGCACCAACCAGCCCAGCTCCAACCGTGGATATGGCCTGGGCGCCGCTCGACAAGGACTTTTAATTAAACTTTTGCACTTATGCAGCTGCCGAAACTGCATCCAGCACATCCTGCAGTTCAATTCACTTTGATTGCCCGAAAAAAATTCATGAAAAGTTTTCCCCGCTCGCGGAAAAAGAAATCAAAAATTTCACTTTGCCAAACAAAACTAATTAACGTTAAACAGATAAAAGTTGTGCCTGGGCGGTGGTGCGGCGTGGCGTGGCGTGGAGGTGCAGCATATGAAAAATAATTAACACAAGTTTATGATTATGTTCGAGTGGAAGTTGCGCCAAATGTCGAGCGATTTGTAAGCAGCAGAAGTGGAGCTGTAAAAATTACAGACAGAACACATTTAATCCCTGGCAAAACGAATGAAGGGATCCATTTGGCCAGAAAACTTCCAGCTCGCTCAGCTGTTAATTAGTTGGCAAAAGTGTTCTGCTCCAATGCCGGGAGAGAGATCGGGAGAACATCTCGAACAGAGTTAAGTGAACTCGAATCAAAACAAAAGTTTATCCATAAATTTCCAGGAATTGTTTTTGCCTTCAAGATGCCTCTTGAATCCCTTTTTTTTGGTTGCTTGTGTCTTTGGCCCTAACCTTGACTGATCTCTATCTGTTCGTGCCATACCTTCCACATAATTGTCTGGCATTTAGGACGATTCCATTCTTCTGTTCTTTTTCTCTTCTAAATGAATTATTTCGATCAGCCGAACACAGGCCACAGGCAGAAAGACAAACAGACAGACAAACCCAAAGATGTTTCTGCAAAAAATTAACAAAGACCCAAACAGACCCAAAAAGGCAAATCCCTAAACAAAAGGCAAATATTGAACTGTGAGAGAGCATCGACTTAGGGCATACCCATTGCTGAATAATTAGGAACAACTGAAAAACAGAGAAAGTCTTTTGATTAAGTGGCTTTGAAGTGAGCGAGTGAGTATTTCCAGCAATAGATTACTTTGTTCAATATACTCAACTACATTCAAATATGCATACGCTCTGCTTCAATATTCGTACCTCTTGAATAACCCAAAATATTTGTATTTCGTTTTTTGTGGCTTCTTTCTTTTGGCCACAGTCCCTGCCACCCCATCCATATTCGGGTAAAATAAAATCAAATCAGTCAACAAGTAATGGCAGTCCAAATGAAATTACAATCGGACTGTGTTCAGCAAAGTAGAAATGTTCCTGTAAGGGAATTATGAGTGCAAGGGTGCTGTCCTGTCCTGGCTCAAGGATTAGCCCAAAGCAGTCGTGGGTGTCGTGTAATCAATTGGAAAACAGTTCGTAGCCATGCCCCGTCGCTGGCTATTATGACAGTTGTGAAACTGAAGAGGAAATTGGATTAGTCGCCAGCGAGAGCTGCGCCACAGAAAGTTGCTCAAAAATGATACACATTCTGTGTAACCTATGAAAAAACGCCCCCAAAAATGTAATCAAAATGGAAAAGAAAATAAGAAGAAAAAAATTATGCTCAACAATAACATCATTTATAAGCCACGAACGAACGCGACAGGACAGTGGCGGCTCCATGAAAACGAAACATTTAAAAATATACTTTGATTGATGATATCTAGTCACAGCACCAGAGACACAGTCAAGAAGTCCAAACGAAGGACACGCACACGTCAGGAAACGAACGAAAAACGATACAGAAAAAAAAAGAAAAGAAATGAGAGCAGGGAAAATACATTAATTATTGAAATGTCATTAAGAGGAAAACCCAAACTGACATCCTCCAGATTCGCATGAATATTTAATAGGAAATTTCATTCATGAAGAAAAGAAAATTATGACAAGACGATGCGTGACCGACATTCAGTAGTCAGGATGTGCGTTGAAGGAACCTTTCGCCTGGGAGGTGAAGCAAATCACGCAAGATAATGCTGATGATGATGGAACACACTCATCATTCGCAGCGTATTAATTACAGGGTGGGAAGTCCGTCTCAGGACATCCATCTGTTTATAGAAAGTCCCAGACCATTCATCAAAGTTGAGCGAACATTTTAATTAGTTCTTCTCTCCGAAATCACGAGTTAATAGTTCTCCAAACGGCAAATTGTCTATAGACCTATTTGAGTTATGGTAATGCCCTCTGCCACACCCCCATATACAAACATGCCCCGTCCAGCCGAGTAAAATGCATTCAAATTTGCCAAAAGAATCTCTCTGAGACACATAACTGTCACAAAAGAGGACAACCCGTCGTGCCACAAATTTGTTTGCGAAAATCCGTGCTGATCTCATAATTGGTAGACCGCATGATGGAATACCCTGCAGATCAGTAGGAAATAAACTAGACTAAAATTTGTACTGATAAAAGACAACTTCCAATACCGTGCATTTGCGTACCAAATCTCCACCCAAAATAGGAAAACTGTCGGCAAAAGAGTATGTGGCAAGAAGGAAGGAATTTTCGCGCCTTCATATGGAAATGCGACAGGCGTCAGAAACTATAAAATAAACAAACTTCCGTTGTGTGGCAGTGTGTGGCAGGGGATCATCATCTCGGGATGATGGTTCCGATGCGAGCTGATGAGTTTGATGGGCTCGACATACGCTCTCTGGCCGGGGCGGACCATTGATTGCATCATAAATAATGAATTTATGCTGACAGGCAGTCGTCAGAGTACACAGCGCACTCTGTGAGGACCTCCGTTTGGTCCTACATGGTGGTTGGTCGTCCTCGGTTGGGGCATCCTTTTTCGTCAACTAATAAAATATGTTTTTATTGCAATCAACAGCGAGAGAGACAGAGAGGAGGGGAGAGGAGCACACACACGCACCGCGTATAAAAATTAATGAGCCACGGAGGCGCGCACCCTTCGGAATCCGGCATCAGGATCAGCAACGGTATACGAATGCCAGATCCCAGATCCTTTTGGCAATGCAAAATACATTTCCATTTTTGCGCATTTTCCTGTTCTGCATTCTCTGTCTCTGTTGTTGTTTCATCGCATAAAAGTTAATGTTTGCCAAACGAAATGTTAATAATATTCATAAATATGTCAGCTAATAAAAATCTGCGGTTTGATTGTCACCTTTATGAGGCTGCAGCCACCCAGGACTCACCCATATCCAAACTGAGACTGGCTTTTACATAATTTTGCATGCATCTCCTTAAGGGTTTTTTTTTCCTTTAGCATAATTTGCCTTGTCTTTGGTTATTTCTTCGCTAAGTGAGTAAACCTAATTGGGGTTTATGTAGGTGCTAATTGAGAGACATTGTTCTCTAAAGATGCTGGATGGATGTCTGGGAACGGGAGGTGAATAAAACAAAATGGAAAGTTCTTTTTATCAAATGTCTAAGATTAAATGCTGGGAATATTGTGACACGGAAAGTCGGAGATCAATAAGAACTATCTTTAAATTTAACTCTACATTTGCCATACAGTTTTCAGTACCCACAAACTATATTTGCCAAGCTTGCAACAGTGTTGCATAACCGGCAGCTGTCGTCGGTTTGGAATAGAGCAACTAAAAGGCAAAGCAGGAAAAACGATGAGCCTTCCATTCTCCCATCCACGGGACGCGACGCGTTTCCCCGGGGATGATATTTTTTACGATATTAAATGCTGAGATTTTTATAGATTTATATCCACAATTCGACGTCGTTTCTTTGCTTTTTATTGAAATAGGAAACTTTCTGCATATTGCATGCATCAAATGCTACGGCAACAACAGCAACTTGCCACATTCCTTCGGGGTATCTCCGCTTCTGACCATTTTTATGACAAAGAATGAAATGAGACGAAATTATTGACGAGCAAAGGCGAGTAGCAGCGACAAACGGAAATCGCTGGCAATAGTCGAGAGGGATATAAAAAAAAAGCGAAATTACTTTTGATAAAACGACAGAAACGACTTCGAGGACTCGTAAGGACTCCAAGGACTACAGCAATAACACACACAACAAAACTACACATAAGCTTCAGGCCGAGACCGAGGGAAGTAGCAGGAAGTCAACTACAAGAGGGCGTTGATTTGTCACAAGTAGAATTATGAGGCAAGGACAAAGAAGACACCAAACAGAGCAGCTGCCACAGGAACTGGAACAACAACAAACACTTCAATTACCGGAAAACGTGTCCCTGATAATACCATCCAAAGATTCCAGCCCAAGTAAATAAAAAGTAATTTCATTATTTGGGTTTTTTTTTATGGTTGCACTTTGACAAAGAAGAACTTTTGGCACGGGAGCTACTCCCTATAGATGGATGGTCTGGATAACCTTTAAAAATTACGAATCCATTTCCAGTTAAAACTTTGCTTAAAGCCACTTTCCCCACTGCAATGGGAGTTGCAACAGAGTACGAGTATTTATTACAAGTATTTTTGTTGCCTGATGTTTATTCCTTTGCATTAATATTAATAACGCGTTTTCAACTTTGTTGCACAGTGTTGACATGTGCCGGAAGGCAAGAAGGTAGGAAGTTAGGGGATCTGCATACGTCTCAACGGGAGGTTTACGTCCTTAAAAAGGAAGCACAGTGGCAATAAGGAAATAAATGAAGAAGGAGAGACAGTTGCAAGAAAGGAAAATAAATGAGGGAAAGGTGTGTTTACGAATAGTTTTAATGGCTTATCATTGTTACTGTTTTCTCATTTTCCCCGATTCGCCGTTTCCCTTTTTCCCACCCGTCAACGTTTCGTTTTTTGGTTTTGTGCAAAAAAGGGAAAACTGTCATAAATGTCATTGCTCGTAAAAGGCAAAATGCAATTTCCACGCCCCTTCAGCACTGCCCTGAAAATCGTCTTCGCCTCCTGCCGGCTATACGTATATTTTTTATGTGTGTGCAACCGAAACCAAACCAAACCAAACCCATCCCAGATCCATTCGTAGGATCCCCGGCTGCGTGTGAAATTATGATAAATGTGCATAAAATCGCGCCAAGGAGAACGTTGCACTTTTGCCTTGCAATTCAGTTTCAGCTCGGGATCCGTTCGTTCGGTGTTGTCATAAAAAATTGGCCAAATTGCCGGCCAGCACGCACAGGACAATGCCAGCACTGCCCTGCCCTGACCTGCCCTGTCTCTCCGCACAGCTCACAGTTTCCTCCCGTCAGAATGGCATTTTTCATTGCATTTTCTTTTAATTAAATTAGCTTTTTTAATGCTTCCTCTTCTTGTCCCCCTGCTCTTCCGTGTGTTTTGCTCTGTTTTGACTTTGGTTTGTGGTCATAAAAATACGAATGAAGCGGCGGAATAGTTGCGCTACTTAGGATCGTCTTTCACCCGTTGGGCGATGGGCACACCAACAAATTTCGCAATAAAATTCCACAACAAAAAATTAGGAATTACTCAATGGAAAATTTTGTGTTTGTCGTTAAAAAAATGGGACAAAAAAGTCTTTAGGGAAAGGTCTTTAAATGCGAAACGATCAGCCCCTAAATGACATTGCAGCATTTTGATAGCTAAAGAAAAGCCTCGTTGGTGAGAAACACATGAGTTTGACCTCCTAGATATTCGCAGACATTTGGAAGTACATTTTGGACAGCCACTAATGTAATTCAACTAACCAAAAGGCTGGACACTGGGATAAACCAATAAAGCAAAGTCCAGGCCACAAACATTTTCCATTTCCGCTGCCCGATGTCTGTGGAAGGGAGGGTAGGCACAAGAGGACAAGCCAAGACTTCGGCCAAGACGCAGTTGAAGGAAGTGAAGTCCAATTGACCGGCGCTCAGGAGTGGACTTTGCGGAAATTGCAAAATTTCTGCATCGTAATAAGATGAAATTAGGTTTGGGGTCTTCCACACACACACACACACACACAAAGGATGAGGAGGGATCCTTGGAGCCTTGAGCAAACAAGACAGAGACCAGAGAGATGGTAAGGATATTCATAGGAGGCGCAGCCAGGCGGCAAATGAACCACTAATTGCGTGACGAAATGCAATTTAGTGAACTTTACCTCAAGCCCAATCCCGATCCCCCAAGTCCACATGCTTCGGCTAAGTAAATACTTAGGTCCTGATGCTTGGTCCGTGTCCAGCATCGATTTTCGCAATTAAATGGAAAACGTCATGGCCAAAAAGGGCTCTGTGTAATGACAGTAATGCAAACATTCAGCCTGGACAATATCCTTTTGTTTAACTAGGCAATTTAAAGTGTTAATCCCTTCGATCTGTCTGTCCTTCCGGCAGATTCTGTCAACCCTTTGAGGTCTCCAGGCCCGGCTCGGCCCGGCCCGGCCCGTTGACAATGATAAATTACTCGGACACTTTGTGTTTTAGCGTGATTTATCGCGCCTGCCGACACAGGACACACGTGTCGCCTCAGCCGTCCTTACTTTTGGGTTGATTTTTAATTAAATGCAAACAGAAATGACCATTTGATAAGGTCGAACTCTTGTTCGCAGCCTTCTGTGGGGCTGTAACATTTTCCAGGCTTTTTAACTCATATTTAAAATGCACTCGTGCGCCCCTGAAGTGGGGAACAAACAGCGGACAGCAGCCAACTGCAACGCATTAATTTTTATAGACTTGACTGCATTCATGAAAATTCATTGGCATTGGTCCCCACCTTCATTGCGAATGCGGTCCGAGAGCAGTGGCTGGGCAGTGGCAGTTCCTCTCTTCTTCCTCTCTCTTCATAGGCCGTTGCACTCGGCACAACGATTTTCGACTTAATGATGTTTTCCAAAATGCATTGGCAAATATGTTTCGCAATTTTCAGCAGAATAAAATCAACTGAAAACGAGAGAGAACGCGCTGCCGAGGACATTTTAATACCCTACCCTACTACAATAGCAGTTTGTTGATGGGCTTCCTGATCTGTCTTTAGTAACAAGTCACCTGGCCAAGTGGTTATACCTTTTCCATGCCCAGCCGGTTAGGTCGATTGCGGTCCCCAGTCTGGCTCCCGATTACGGGGGCATCTACCCAAAAAGCCCAGCACCATCAGTCAGCATTTTCAATATGTTTATGTGTAATTTTCAAATAAAGGTTTAAATGGTTTTTGGCAAACAATTGCAGCCACCGAACTGGATACCATTGTGGGATTCTGGACGGTACGGTACTGCGGGGATATATTCAGGAAGAGTGTTACATTGCGGTTGTTTGTTCTGGCCATTGGTATTGGTGTAACGATTGGGTGTTTCCTGTTTTCCGTGTTCCGACTTGTGCGTGTTGAGGGCTTGTAATCAACATGGTTGCGGCTTTTCATTGCTTTTTGCTTGATTATTTTGCAATATTTTATAGATTTATTTTTGCTGCCTCCACGGCAGAGAGGATGCGGCACAGGGAGGAGGCGGATATGGCAGTAATTATCGAAAAAGGAATTTGTCAGCTGACCATTAGCCATGATTACTGTCGAGCTAATTTAATTGAAATTCTTCATTCATTATTTGACAGGGTTTTAATGTTAGTTGGAATGGAAGATATGGAATGATGGAATATCTTTAAAAAATAATAATTGATATCAGTCTGCTATAGAGGAAACATCGATATACATAATTAATCTGTACAATGTATCGACGAGCGCTAGTAACTCCCATCCCTGACACATATGTATGTACGTAAATCCTCTTTCCTGTTTCCGGGTTCTCTTTGATAAAACGTGTACGTATTGTGGGCCAAAATGTTTTCAAAATTACCTATAGAGATCCTTGATAAAGTATTCGGATACTTAAAGGACGATGACAAACTGAATATGGCCCAAGTTAACCAACAGCTTGGATGCGCATTTGCCTACCATGCTAGAGACAAATATAAGGAGATTGATTACTACGAATATACAGATGACAAACTGAAAGTTATTCTGCCATTATGTGGACCCACAGTTGCCTATATAGATTTGCTGCTATACAATGAAAATAAGCTAATTTTTGAATTAATATCGCAGTACTGCATACACCTAGAATCTATGAATTTGCATCTTTACAATTTAATCGCACATAAATTCATTTTAAAACTAAATAGCCATTATGTGGACCCACAGTTGCCCATATAGATTTGCTGCTCTACAATGAAAATAAGCTAATTTTTGAATTAATATCGCAGTACTGCATACACCTAGAATCTATGAATTTGCATCTTTACAATTTAATCGCACATAAATCCATTTTAAAACTAAACAGCCTGAGGAAAATTAAGTTGAATAAAATGCAGAATTGTCGTGAATCGGATGTGCTCAACTACATCGCGGGAAAGTGTAAAGCATTGACTTTAAGTATTTCGGTTGAGCAGGGTATGAAATTTAACTGAGACAAACAAAATATTATTAACATTGTTATATATGTATTTAAATATTTATTTTTAATTTGTTTCAGCTCAAAATACACGGAAACTAATTAGTTCGGAAGAATTGGACACTTCCTTATCTAGAAATGATAATATTATTGAAATATGTTCCTATTTCAAGAACTTGCGTACCTTGAACCTTTGGGCCGTCACACTTTCAGGAACACAGACAGAAGATTTTGTATATCCTGAGTTGAAAAAGCTGGAAATTTCGTCTTGCGAAATATACCCATACGTATTACCCACCTGTCCGAAGCTCAAATCGTTGATATTGTGTTTTAATGAATATAAAAATAACGTTAAAATACAAGATATTACAACAAAGTACGCAAAGACGCTGGAACGCTTAAAAATCAGAAAATACCCTGTGGGAATTAAATTCAATAATTTAATAGAAGTTCTCAGAGAGTGTACAAAAGTGCAGCACCTTTGTATAGACTTTGTAATTCCAACATTTTGCCAAAACCTGGACTCTTTTATTGAAGTATTAAAGGCTAATGGCTTCAATCCACAAAGACTTTTTGAATTGGCATTCATTTATAATGACCACTGTACTCTGCGCAAATTGGTGAGTGTTTGAAACAATGGCTTCTGGTTGCCGAAATTGACACAATTTATGTTTGTTTTTATAGGAGACAGAACATGCAAACTCCGATGTGTGGAATTTAATTAAAATTACCGGATTGTATTGAAGAATAAATAAAAGTAAATATCTAATTAAGAATAAAAAAAAAAAAACATCTGAAATCGGATATCTCCAAAGTGATTGCGTTCAACTAATCCCTTTAGATATTTCTTCGTAATTGCAGAGCTAGTTAATACCACGCCCCTCCCCAGACACATCTGTTGGTCTCGTGCAAGCTCGATTGCCTAACCAAAACCAAACAAAGCTTCTCCTACCCACCAGCCGCACAGAGAGATCTCGACTAAATTACGTGCCAATCAACCACTTGGAAGATGACAATGGGCCGGAGACGATAAGACGGAGACAAGGCGACAATGCGACACGGCTGTCTACGCAGGACAAACTTATTTGTTTAACAGACAGACAGACGGACGCGTACTGCGAGACAAGGATAAGGCCAAATGCAAGCCTTGCCTTGCCTTGGCTCTGACTGTGTTTGCTAATTAGCACATATTCCTCGAAGGCAAAAGAAAACACACGGCTCTCTGTCAACATTTCACATCACGTGAGAAACTGGGGAAAAACAGGCAAAGAAACGATACGACATCGTCGTCGTCGTCGTCTCGCCGGATTAAATTGTTCAATTTTAAATATGCTCTGTCACTTCATTTGTAAGGAAATAACCAGCAACAAGACAGCAGGCAAAAAAAACTTTGGCTCGCAGCAAAAGTTTTACCCCCACTGGATGGATGGGGAGCAATGGTGGGTGATGGAGGGCGAGGAGAGGAGAGGAGAAAAATCATTAACACGCCCGCAAGCCCAAGCCAAACGAAAGGATAACAGATTTTTCTGCTAATTTGAGGCAGACTCCTTTGTGCGTGACTAGCAAGGAAGATTGAACAGAAATGGGGAGCAGAGCAGCAGTTGGGTCGGGAATGGGACTGGGGTTGGGGTTTCGAGACTCAGACACTATCTTACTCTTCAGATCAACTTCTTGGCTGGCATCTCCCGTTTCACTCGAGTGACGAGGCACTGTGAGATAAGCTCCTTCCTGGCCTGGGTTCGGGGAATGAATCCTTTTTGGGCTGCTGTCACAGTGTCGGGGCGAAAGTTTCCCAATAAATTGCGTTTCTCGGGCTGCCGGGGTTGACAGTTTTGCTTAACGCTTCATAATCAGCATGAGGCAAATAAGTTGCCATCTAATTGTGTGCTGCAACAATTAAAAGCCGTAAGGACTTATGTCAACTAAAAAGTTAGAGGAGAGCAGAGCGCCATCGCCATCGCAGCCCTCAAACCTCAATGCAAACTTTCCATCCAAGTCTGGGCCAAGCTCAGCTGGCGATTCCTGGCTAAGACGGAGCCAGCAGCAGTAGCAAAAGTTTTTCAAATATTTTCCAAATGCTTTTCCAACTTACGCCTGAGTAGTTGGCCAAGGAAGTGAGCCGCGTCCTTTGGGTATTTCCTTTTGCCAACAGTGTCCCGTGTCTGCGTCTCCGTCTCCATCTCTGTGCCCTTTTAACGCTTCGTCGACTGCACACAAGACAGAATTAATTGTTGAGTAATTGAAATTTTATTTATATTAGTTTCCTTTGGCGCTCCTGCCTGGTGACCACTGCAGGCGGTATCCCTGCTCCTTTTGTGGATTGAAGTGTGTAATTCTTGTTTTCCATTGTAATTTAGTACTTGGCTTTGGGCTTTGGTTTTACCCCATCCACACCAGCCTCCAAAAGCCGCCACGGGGCTTGCTCAATTTTTTATTCAAATTTACCAAGTCTCTTTTTTTTGTGTGTTTCGAGAAGTTTGTTTGCGATTTTCCAGAGTGGAAAATCAATTATTCGCTTTGTTGATGATGTCATTTTCAAGTTTTGAATCATTTATTAGGGATAAACAGCGGTGAGGAACATTGAGAGCATGAGGACTTAAATGTTTTTTGGATTTTTAATATATATAATATAATATTAAATATACTTATAATTATACAATTAATAATTATGTCTGTACTCCAATTTAGGCATTTAAAATATATCTAGTTGAAGTTTTGAAGTAAGGACCTGTAGGGGACTTTGAATGTTTTTGGATTTTTATATACATATATAAATATATATAATATAATATATGTATATTTAATTACACAATTAATAATAATGTCTGTAATCCAATTTAGGCATTTAAAATATATTTTAGATTGTAGTTTTGGACACGCCGGACAGCTCTCATTGATGAATGGTCTGAGAAGGAGACCAAATTCCTAATCACTTGGTTTAAAATTGAAGGGACCAAGGACTGCCCCTCAAAAGGGTATGGGTGTACATTTGCCTAAGCCTCAGTTTCCTGCTTGCTCTGTTAATGCGTTTTAATTTAATTTTGCATGCCCAACCGCACAGAGCACAACACCAAATGGCCAAATGCTCAAATAAAAACCCAGCACCGAACAATGTTGCCCTCACTCCAACGTAATGCTGGGTGGCAAGGGGCGTGGGAGGAGGGATTGCAGGCATTCAGAGGTGTACTTTTTTTTGTTGTTGTTGTGTAGAGCAGAGCTTGGGGGCCACTGCAGCCAAAGTGGCACTGGCAGTCAATAAGAATGCGATGTGGATGACGATGGCTGTCAGGGACATAACAAGCTGGACACGACACATAGCACATGGACATGAGACAGGGACAGGGATGGGGGAATGGGTTACGTACTCGGACCTCGAATGGCTATCAGCAGCAAGCACACACACCCACCCAGGCAACAACAATATAATTGTCGGTCATTTGCAGCAGCAGCAGCCAAATGAGCAGCAGTCACAGTCCCCGACCTATTCGTAGTCCTTGCAACCCATTCAATCTGAATGAGCCCCCAGCTCTACTCCACGTACAGAACTCTCCGCCCTTCATATGCAAATCAAACAAAAAGCTTCGTTGAGGTTTTCGCACGGGCAACATTGTTGCTGCAACATGTGGCAAGCAGCCCTTTTTTGTGAGAGAAGATGAAAGATGTGCAGAGGAAGTAGCGGCTACCGGACGCAGCAACCAGCCATTTGATGGTCGCAAGATAAAGCAACTGGGGTCTCATGGCAATGGAAGCCACTTGTGCCGGGAGAGCCGGGAATCGTTTGCTTTTATTGACCAGCAGCCACCGGACAGACAATTACGTTTACTGCGGTCAAAAATGCAACAACTACAGAGCCAAGTTATGCGCTAAATGTACCAGTCCAGTCACAGGACGCAGCACAAAACCCCAAAGGGTATATAGGATTACCGATTGAGAATGATTGACATGGGAGGAGTTATAAAATTCTGTTCGGAATGGGGCATAAAAGCTATGATAACAGAATAAATCTGCCCTGAGTTGTGGCACAGAACTTGCAACTTGCAAATAGATTCTTCGAAAAGGTATCCTCCGGGTCTAAACTAACATACAAAAACCAAACCGTAAATGTTTGCCTTGTTAGCCTGAGTCGTATGCGTAATAACCCCGTTAAAGGACACAATCTACGTATGTACGTCCCTATTTTTTATCGTGTCTCGTGTCTCGCCATTTAATACGAAAAGTTGTTATCAAAATAATTGCAGCGATTGCAACACAGTGGGTCCAGGGAACAGGGTCCAGGGTCCAGCTCCAAACACAAAAACAGCCGCCAGCAGAATCTCATTAGAATAATGCATCCCAAAGTGCTGTACGAACAGGTGGCAAGATGACAAGAGGTGGGTTGCCGCCTTGAACGGGGACGAGACAGAGACAGACAAAACAATTGTTGATTAAATTCATTTTAGTCATTTGCATATGGAATTGTCTGGGTCTGGGTCTGAGTGTGCGTTTTGGGCTACGCTTTTATCACGGCAGCGCATTGAAAAGTCATTCCGGGGAATGGGTGCTGAAGGATTTTGGCCACAAGAATAATGAAGTTGCTGGGTGTCTTAAGTCGAAAAACAATGCCAGGCCATGGCCATAGCCATCATAGCCATAGCCACCATAGCCTCAGTGCCAATGACAATGAAATGACTTAGGTGTTTGGCTTGGACTGGGGCTTGGGTCTGGCTTTGTGGCTTCTGTAGGATGTGGGTGGGAACGCACTTAGGTGTATGGCAGGCAGGCTGGCAGGCAGGCAGCCCATTGTTCTTTTATGGATGCGTTGCTCTTCCTGTTTTGATAATTTAATTGAAATGGCAGCAGCCACACAGGCAATGCAAGGAAGAGTTGCCATGCACGATGCCCAAATGGAAATGCAGTGTTTATTTCGGTTTTGATTTCCAAAACTGCCTGAAAACTCAGCAAGAGAGAGAGAGAGTTGCTCGTAGAGTTGCTATACAAAATATGCGAATATTCTTTGGATTAGCTTTGGATCACACTTAAGTTCGATCTGCCCTCGGTCAGGACACAAACACTTTTAACGTGCAACTTCTGCCGTAAGCCGACACTTTGGAAAACCCTTTTGACATATCTACAGTTACACACTGCACCCATCTGGCCATGGCTGAGGAAAAGCAGCTAGAAGGCAGCACAAACTTTGGACTCATGCCTGGCCTGGCCTGGGCTGGCTATTGATTGCATTAGTTCCATTCGAAGCGGGCAAAATTGCGTTTCGTTTCCACATGAGCCACAATCAAGTCGAAAGTTTTCGACAGATGAAGACAAGACACAGCCCCATCCGGCAGTACCCAACCCGTTTCGGTAGTTCTACTTCAATTTTAATTGACTTTAAGCAAAACAGACCGCAACCGATGTACTGAAGGAGTGGGTGTGGGGGGGATAAGGGAAAAACTTCACGGAAATGGCTCGTTTGACTTTTATTGAATTAAAATTTCCGCGTGCCGAACAGAAACCCAGAGCCAAAGCCAGAGCCTTAATTGCAACTGTAAGTGACGACGTGATTACCTGAACACAAAAAAAAAAAAAAAGCGAGGCAAAAACTTTGACTGGAAGCCATTATGTTTGCTAGAGGCACTTCCTGCCACAGGACTCGGCTGCGACTTGCTTGGCGCTGGCTTTTAAAGTTTTCCCCCACACACACACACACACGAATAAGCCACGTAGTTTTTGCTGCTCTTTCTTGCAGTTTCTTTTCGCCTTTTTCTGGCCGTGTGTCGTGTGTGCATTTTTGATGAACTTGAGAGCCTGGTGGTCTGGGTTGACTGGCAAGGCGGCTTGGCTTGGCTTGGCTTCCTTGTCAGTTCATTCCATTTGCATATCGTTTACGTTTTAATGTGATTATGGCGTGTGCATATTGAATGCCTTTGGCCTGTTATCCTTGTGCCTGTTGCCTGTCTTTCTCTTTGCTTTTCCTTTTTCTTTTCTGCTGTTAACTTTTTGAAAGCTACATTTTTGGGAAATTTTCTTTGCTTTCAACAGTTTTCGCCCGGTTTGCGGTTAGTTTCTCCCTTTAATGGATAATTCGACTTGATGAGTCGTTATACCCCAACCGCCTGCTACTGCTAGTTGGGGGTGGGGTGCCAAGGAAAAG